CCCTCCCCCCACCCCGGCAGTGCACCATCCTGACAAGCCCCAGGACTACATGTGGCCAGCTGCTGGCTCCATTGCGCCGGGTTCACATGCCTGAACCCTATGCGATGAAGCCAGCAATACAGGTCATGCAGCCTGGCCAGGGCAGCAGGAAGAGGGGTGGAGCTGGCCTGGATCCATAGTGCAGAGCTCCCTGCCATTCCCCAGGACCTGTGTGTAGCAATGAGTGGAGGCAGGCTGCCAGCTCCATCATGCAGGGCTTGCCCCAGAGGTGAATGGTCCAGGCAGAGAACCCAGGAACTATATGCAAGCCCTGTGTCCGCGCCAGCCCCAAGCTCTGTGCTCCTGCTGCCCCGTCCTGCGTCCCACTGGCTCTGGAACATCGGCACGGGTCCCGCACTTATAACCAGCTGCCACATTCGTTTCTGCCCGCTGCCACCACCACTCCCCGCTACCAACCACCAGCATGTCTCTTCATATTAGTTTACATGCATTTTCCTGTGTACTGTTTACTAGACTTTCAATTGTTATGAACCAGACAGGAAGTCTTAGTCCTCTTTTACAAGGCAACTAGATGCCTTGATGCATTTGAAAAAAATATTCAAAAGATCTTCTCCATGTTTGATATATATGTGTTGCACCAAGTTTTCATTTTTGATTTATGTTTCAATAAAAAGTTTGATTTCAGTTAGAGAAAACATATTAAGTTCCAAATATAAGAAACTGTCTCAAGAAAAACCTCAAGATACTTTCTAAGTTTAATACAGTATGTTACTAAATCTGTGAAACAAGATTTTTTGAAAGCCATGCATTTTGAAAGACATGGAGATTTTCACATAATGCCCCAAGTCCTCTACCACAGAAGCCAACAAAGTTTTGCCATTGACATCAAAGGGAGCAAATACAAGTTCACTGATGAACCTAAGTCTGATAGCATTCCAGCAACTGATGGGGAAATAAGGGAGAGGAACGATACCATAAAGCACTGGGGACAACCTTTCTGGCAGGTATACCACAAATTACCCCTGCACCCTCTGGGTGCCACTCCAATCCCTTTCCTTATCTACTGCTGTTTCCTTGCTTCCTGCCCCATCTGTTGACATGCTGCCTGTCACTTTCCTAGTCTTCACTTGCCACACCCAGAGGCTGCCTGTGCCACTTCGGGCATGCATGCTACAGGATGGCCACCCTTGCGATAAAACAGCACAATGCACCTAAAGTAGAGGACCATGCCATATTTTATTAAAACTAAAGTACATGATCTTATTGAATAGACATTGATTTCAGAGGTGTAGGGTGGGTGTATAATCAAATACCATATTTTCTTGCATACAGGCCTCTGAATAAGATATGCACTTTGTTTTTCAAAGGCAGAAGGCAGGCAAAAAAAAAAAAAAAAAAAGAGAAAAGAAATTTCTTGTAATAAGTAATTG